GCCGAAAAGCATCGACGTTGATTTCGTCCAACATACCTATACCGGCCTAGATACACGGCGAAGGGTGGCCTAGACGCCCATGCCGACTAGTATGTTGACGAGACCGATTTAACGCTCGTTCTTCATCCTAAAAATCCACGAACGCCTCTCATGAAGACCTATGTGGGAGATGCAAAGCGAAAGTGTCCTAAGATCAGCAAAGCCATCTAGAACGCCACCAAATCTCGTCGAGAGAAGTGCTGCACAGCAAGGAGTTAGAAGAGCTTAATGTAGAATATATAAAAAGTAAAGATCAATTGATTTTGATGACTGGATAGATGAATTTCTCAATCGGCCATGATCCTCTCATATAAATAGAGGGGAGTAGTCATATATCCCAGTAGAAAACTTATTCCACACGCAATATACAAGTTTCCCATGAGATCGGATCAATTTCCAAAGAAAATCACGAGTTAGCTTCGAATCTGCCAAAACCGGCTCAGGACGGTATGTAAAACCGGACTATAGACCGGTTTTTTCAAGTCGCCGCAGACCTCTTTGGCCAATTTATTATATAGCTAGGGCCACTTTCCTGGGCCGGTTCTTGCAGGCAGCACGCAAATTTGCTCAATTTCATCTAAATTCAATTCTTTTTGCTTCTGTGTGATTTTACAGTCCATCTTCAATATTCCGATCCCTTTTGGCTGTCAACGGCATCCATTTATGCATGCATGCATGCATGCAACCTTGGATTACTGACACATAACAGGAGTAGCTTTTGGTGTGGGCAAGGCAATGCTGGCCAGACGATGTCGATGGACCTTGCTGTCGGTTCATGCACGTAGCTAGCCGGAGTACTCGTCAGTAACATATACTAGTACCCCTCCCAAGAAAGAATGCAATTATGATTCGTAACTGACGCAAATTTGATCAAATTTATAGTAAATAATATTATTATTTATGTCTTAAAATAAATTTTTTATTAAAATATATTATGTACCTAATCTAATGGTACTTATTTTGTATTATAAATGTTAGTATTTTTTTATAGAAATTTAGTCAAAATTTATACTATTTGACTTCTTGAAAAACAAGAATTGCATTTTTTTCATGGGGGGAATGAGTACTACCTAATTTCAGGTTAGTCTAGACTTTAGAGTGATGACGAAATAGTACACAGATCTACCTGAAACTGAAAGGGTCGTGGTCGTTGACAGCTTTTGCTTTGCACGCATGCAGCACGTGTGGCCCAAATCCAAATGGGAACCGGGGTAGATTCCGTTGACAAACTAACGTACGCACGTAATACGCGTCCGCCTGCATGTGCTCGCTTCATTCTTCTTCACCTTCCCAGTCCCAGATATCTAGTGCCAGGTGTCGCCAAGAACAAACACCAAAGATAGCTCGCGGATAGGGTACCAGATAGATATGGAGCAACTACAGCAGCATGGTCTGCAGCAGTAGAGGGATAGATGGAGAGCGAGTGGAGGACGACGACGATGACACCGATGGATCGATAGCCATCGGCGATCGTCCGGCTTTAGAACAAGGCTAATCTTTTTTGTATACCTAAAAAGACTCTAACATCATCATCTAATGATACCAAAATTTTGATCCATGTTCACGCTTCCGTGTCCGATACGTCGTCCTCCACTCAAAGCTCACGCGTTCGCATCTGAGTACTAAGGTTCAGTTCAAAAATCGTAACCTCGGTGTAACGCACGGGCATATATCTAGTAATATATAGCCGCTTGGATCACAGCTCGATTATTATAATCTAGATTATGCATGAGAGAATATTATAATCAGGATTATAGATTATAGTAACCAGAGTGTTTGGGTCTTATATATTATATTATGGTGATTGATTATTGTTGGTTAAAGTGAGAAATTCCTATTTCATCTTTTACAATTTGGCAAGTTGGATAATCAATGGGGGGCAAGGTGGACTTTCAGCACCCATAATCCCTTGTGACCTGGTCTCACCTGGATTATTGGATTACAATAATCAAGAGTTTTGATCTATACCGAATAATAAAGAGGCAAAAATTTCTGCCATAATTTTTTTTTGTCCAACTCTGATCTCTATTTGGATTCTAGTTTTTTGTCCGAAATCATCTTTTCAAAATCCTGTTCAGTTTAGATCTTATTTCTATCTATCTACACATAAAACATATCTTCAAACCGTGCTCGATCAAATCAGAAAAAGGGCGGAGCCTGGCTACTACTTTGCACGACCAACAGGCAACACGTCGGGATTTGCCATGGGCAATTGGGCATGCAGCAGCTATTAAAAAAGAAAAGGCAGAAAATCAAGGAGCGGGCCAGAAATTGAAAACTGTGTGTAAAGAAGAAAATGTCTTTTATAGAAAACTAAAACTCTACTAATTAAAATCATTACTTTTTAATAACTAATATATAAAAATTCAGAAAAGCAAAAAAATCTACACATAAAAAATCACACAAACTAAACTAAAGGCCCGCTGATACTAAAAAAACGCACGACCAGTATGCCAAGGTGGCCGAAGCCAAGAGGATGCACGCACGCAAGGCCAGCCATGCATGTTCGCCCCCTACCACTCACGCTGGGCGGGGCGGCGACATCAATGCTAGCCAGATCAAGCAATGCGGGCACCGGTGCCGGCACAAATGACCATTGTGTACGGAGGACATGCAACAACGTCCTGGCAGACAAGACGACTATCAAGTTATTAATTATTTTTTTTTCCGTTGCAATGTCCGGGCATGATTCTATCTTCAATAATTTTCCTTTCCTTGGTTTGTGTGAGACCCCGCTAAATGGGCCAAGTTAGGGCCGGTTTGATGCGCTGGGCCGAATGGCCGAGTATTATAGCTCTTTGTTGCTGGTACTGTAGCATAAGACTTTAGTCCCATACCGGAACCTGAGGGGAAACTGAACCAGCTTAAAAGCCTGAGCCTGGGAGGCTGTTAACTCCAGTTCAAACCTTTTTCGCAAGCGAGGACGAAAGCGCAAGAGAGTTAATTAACAAGGTGTGGTCCATTCAATGTGTAGAGTGGATCTTAGCCGTCTTCCCGAGCTGGGGCCAACGTGATGGACTCCCATATGAATTCAATAGGAGAAATCGAATACAATACATCAACTCAATAAATAAATTGACATTGAGCACCAATTATTAAACCATATAAGCAAGGCACCATATCGCGCAGGCGAGGCGGCACAAAAAGATATTGAGGTCGAAATGATGGCGGCGCGAGGAGCGGAGACGACGGCGAGATCAGGCAATGGAGGGGCAACCTGACGAGACGACGACATGAGCGAGACCAAGACGAGGAGGCAAGGTCGAGGAGAAAGGAGACGGCGACGCGGGCGAGGCTGCCAAGTGTTGGGGCGTGCGGCCGCTAGATCTCCATCGCATGGATTTGCCAGGCTGTGGTGACGCCGTCGCGTGGTGCTGCCAGGGCATGGTCACGTCGGGGCTCTGTGTGGTCGACAGGGTGCTGTGACCGTCAACCCGCCAGGGCTCCATGGCCACTTTGGCAAGGCTTCAGACAGACGAAGTTGAATCCTTGGAGGCCTCGGGTGCGAGGATGAGGCCTTGGGACTCCGAGTCCGAGCTAGGAGATAAGATGAGAAAGAAGAAAAAAAATAAAAAGAAAGAAGAAAACAGAAAAAAAAGAAAAAAAGAAAGAAAATAGAAGATAGAGTAGTATTGACGTTTTACAGTTTTCAACTACCATAAGGAGTTGTTTAACCAAATGTTTCACCAAAACATCTTCATCTCCATCGCTAGAGCTGCTTGTGAAGCTAAAGTAAAAAAAAAGATGCTTCGCTAGTGATATCCCTCATTGATTAATTGTATGCTATTGGTCTCGACTTTAACAAAAATTGCACAATAAAGTGTTTATAAACTATGTAAATTCACTGGTATGCAGTATGTTCCGTTATATTTGTTTATTCTTTGATGCTATAATTGGAAGTGGAAGTGAAAATGTGCGCCCCTGGCCCTTCATGTTTATAAAGAGTCCTTGCGCTGTAGCATAGATGCAATTAATTACTTAAGTGGAAGAAAATATATTGAATCAAAATTATTTATATATACGTTTTTAGCATAATGTCGAGTGCAATAAAAATATAATGATGTAAATAAAAAACTATTGCTTTCAAGACAAAACAAGACATAGATGCTAAAACTTTGGATGACACTATACCTTTCCTCTTGTTGCAACACACGGGTAATTTTGCTAGTTATAATAAACCATGACATAATCAATCATGTTTGGATCAAAATTTAACTATATATATAATCTGGTTATTATAATCAGAGAGGTATCCAAACAAGGACTTATTATATATAGTACTTCTACTTGGTTTTCATCTATGATCTATCTTTTTTCTTGACTACCGTTTTTCTCCTATATATCTCCTTCACCTCAACGTAAAATCCTACCGTCAGGGAAACATCGGCGTCCATTCCATGCACGCAAGCACGCACGGCCGGCGTGGAAACAAGCGAGGTCCCGACAGCGCCTAGTGCGTGTATTTCGTTTCATCTTTTCTCGTCGACGATCGGGTTCGTTCGCAATCACGCTTTATATGAGCTCTGTCGAGTGTGGCGATAAGTCAAAGCATGGACCAATAATCCACGGATGGATGGAGCGGAGCAACTAATCCCCGTCCCAACCGAAAACTAAACCAGACCAAACCAAACCCCTGGAGATAGATTTGCCGGCCGGCCGGCCGGCCGGTCCAGCCATCCCCATGCCATGCACGCATTAGTCTTCGTTATTCATGTTGCTGACAGCGACCACGCCGACGGCGACGACGACACGAGCTGCAGCCATGGACGGACGGACGGACGTCTCAACCGTCATGATGTACGCGCGCGGCCGTACGTATGTAGCATATATGTACAGTTCCTTTGATTTTCACAAATTAGAGATCGACACAGCAGCTCCGCAGGTATAGGTAGGTGTTCACAAATTACTAGGCTATAATACTAGCTCGTACTATACGTACTACGTAGGTCCGATCGATCCTCCTATTCCGGCGCCGGCGACCACGCCCAGCGGCCGGCGGCGCACCCGTCGAGGATGAGGCGGGCGACGTCGCCGTCGCCCTCGCCCACGTCGTCTGCGGTCCTGCTACTGCGGACGGCGGCCAGCGCGCGGAACTCGCTGGCGCGCATGCGCACGGTGACCCGCTGGCCCGGCGGCACCTCGGGCGGCGTCCAGGGGTGCACCGCCGCCGCGCCCTGATGCCCCCACCTCGCCGTCGTCGCTGTGGCCTGCAGCACCTTCCTCGTCATCCAGCACCAGTCGCAGGACTTGGATGCACAGCTCCCCATGGACGATGAGAGCACACCACCGTCCGTCCCCAATTAGCGTAGCTGGTCTGTACGTGACATGTACTACATGAATCTGTTTTTGTGTATATATAGCGTGGCATGTGGATGAAGATTTGTCGTTGTTGCTGGTCGGAATCGCCGGCACGCAGACGCAGTAGTGAGTAGTCGCAGAAGCAACGCCAGCAGCAAGCAAGGCAAGCAGCAACAGATAGTGCATGAGGTTGGACAAGCGTCAAGAGATTAGTCACACGCACTGACATGTACACACTACACAAGTTGATTGATGGGTCATGGGTGGGTGCAGACGGCAAGAAACACACGACAAGCTAGCTAGCCAAGCTCTGTAGACTGTGTGACTGCTTGCAAGGAATCGACGCGCATATCTACGATAAATCTAGGAATAGAGTGTGCTTAGCATAAGCATAAGCATAAGCAAGAGATGATGAGAACGTGATCACACGAGCTAGCTTATGGTGGTGGTGGTGCCAGTGCATGTGTGTGTTGCTAGCTGCATCCACAAGGCATTTGTTGGTTGGTGGTATAGGGCCATGCTGAACCAGGATTTGGGCGGCATCAATACTTACTATTGTTTTGTTCAGCAGCTGCATGCTGTTCTGTTGATCTTCAAGTGCAATGCAACTGCCTGGGAGAGGAGCAAGCAAGGTGTTGTGTGCAAGCAATGCAAACCTCTGATCTGAAACGCCGGGCAGGCAGCCGGCCTGAGGATATGGGTGATGGCCTGATGGGCCACATTGCTTTTGCCAGGTTTGTGGGATGGCTGTACGGTGACATACGCGTGAGTCAAAATGGCAACGGGTACGTACCCGATGGGTACTGGCCACCCGTACCCGCACCCGCCAGATCAAAATCTTACCCGTCGGGTTACCCGTACCCGCAGGCGGGTAGAAAATTCATTCCATACCCGCACCCAACAATATACCCGAGTTCACACACCAAAATATAATAGCTTCCAGCAAAACAAATCAACAATAAAGCGAAGAAAATGTTCAGAAACTAGTTGAAATAGATCGATGCCTCATTGGTTCATTCCAAATATACTTATATGGGGATTAAGGTTTGAGGGATATACTTATATATATACTTATATGGGCTAAATATGGGCTATATGCTTATATGGGCAAAATGGTGGGATATTATTTATGCGGGTTTTTACCATATGGGTAGTATACACCCACACCCATACCCGGGGTACAAGAATTGTCCAATAACGTACTCACTCCTTATCGGGTAAAACCCGGCTGGTACTGGCATGGCCATTTTGACGTTTTCCCGTCCCCTGTTTGCAATTTGCGTTCAGATTGATGGTCCATACATACATATACACCTACCTGTAGGGATCAGCTAAAGCTGGGGTCACTCTTACTTTGGCATGCTTTCAAGAAGGAAGGAAAAAAAACTCACTTTTGCACTGGCATGGGGTTTTTTCATTTAAAAGAATCTACTATCTCCGTCCTAAAAAGGACAAAACGAGTCAGACTAAATTTGTAGAAAATAAATAATAACAAATATTTATGATTCAAAATAGATATACTAAAGAAATATAAGTCATAAATAATGACTGTAATAATATTTATGTACTACCGTCGATATAATGTCCGTTTATATAAAAAGAGTTCAGATTTAAGATGTTTTATCATACTCCAGTAAGTACTATTATAGAGTTGCATCCTTATTTTCTTGAAGCGCATAGCTGGTTTCTTAGTACTAGTTATTAGGGAGCTGGTAGCTAGAGCCCTGAGCGTTTGAAGCAGGGTAACTTGTTTTCGTGTGTAGGTGTTTGTTTGTTGGGAAATGCTGTACGCAGGATATTCGTCTGCCTGGACGCTCCTTCGTGGACTTGCGTCCTAGACTAATAAACCTTCCGCGTCTATCACTTCCGTTGACCCTGTTGCTTGCCCTTGCTCCGCCGCCCGCCCTGCTCCTCTTGCTCCTGTTCCGCGTGCTGCTCCTGCTGCTACTCCGGCTCCACCGCCCAACCTGCTGCTCCTGCCGTTGCTCCTGTTCCTGTTCCGCGTGCTTGCCAAGCTGCTGCTGCTGCTGCTGCTGCTGCTGACACTACTCTTGCTCCGCCGCCCACCCCGCCCCACGACGCTGAGCGCAAGGTGAAGCGTCAAGCCTGGCGCGGAAGCCCTCTGGCCTCGACTCCTGCTACGGTTGCGGCGCGCCGGCACCCCGATGAAGATGGTAGAGGAAGCCGCACCGGGATAGGATGCATGTTGCAAATGTACAATTCAAAATGTTTCAGAAGTTTGAGAGGTATGTTGCAAGCGTTGTACATCGATGTTGCAAAAGTAGATCAGGATGCTGCACATATTGTAATGGCTATACACGTATATTTCAAGTTTATATCCCAAATGTTTCATTTGTTCCAGACGAATGTTAAAAGCGGTTTATTTGGAAGTTGTAAAACTGGATCTGGATGCTGCATATACATGCATGTTGCAAGCATATGTTTCAAGTATTTTCAGGTGTTTCGTACATATGTGTTTTGCAAGTATTTCATCTAAATGTTGTATATGTTTGCAATGGTTTTCAAATATTTTTTAGGTATTTTCATAAGTGTTTCAGACGCTTGTTCAAGTGTTTCATCCCATATAATGCATACGCGTGGGAAGCGGCTGATGGTGTGGACGACGTTCGGGGCGGCATGGGCGACGTTCGGAGCGACGCGGGCCCACTACTGGTTCGCTCGCCGGCGAGCCCGACACACTAGGCTCTCGCTCGCTCCCTGTACGAGCCACGTCCAGAAGCTAACGCCCGGGACCGCTAGCAAATCCGTTGTTCGTTGGGGTTTTTTTTCCTCTGCTAATAATAATATAACACGGCAATCCTCCCGCCATTTTTTTATAATGGAGGGTGTATTCGGAAGAAAAGCTTTATATATTATTACTAGCAGATTGAGTGATGTATGTACTGAGAGCATCTCCAGCAGTAGCCCCCAAATCAGGGCCCCCGTTTTAGATTTGGGTGCCCGCACCCATTTTTGTTGTGCCAACAGATTTCTTCCACTACAGCCCAAACAAAACCTCCAAAATCCATATCAGCAGACAATGACATGGGGCACCCACGCATCATTGAGGCAGACCTTTCTTCCTCTCCACACAGGGCAGGAGGCCGAGCGGAGCAAGCAGGGTGGCGAGCAGGCCGGCGCTGCTCCCGCGCGGCGGAGGGAGGTGGAGGGAGTAGCGAGCAGGTGCCGCCGCGTCCGTGAGCCATTGGGAAGGGAGCAGGCGCCGCCGTGTCCACGAACCATCGGGATGGGAGCAGGTGCGACCACGTCCGCAAACAAGGATTTGCGCCTCCAGCCATCAGGTAGGAGCCGCCGCACCCGCATGGCCCCCTGCGCCACTGGAGGGAGGGAAGGGAGGATCCACCGCGTCCGTGCGGCCTGCGCCGCCGGGAGGGAGGGGAGGAGGTGCGTCTGCGCGGAGGGAGGGGCGGAGCAACGCGTGCGCGACGGAGGAGCAGCGCGTGTGCGTCGGATAGGGGCCGCCCCCACCACAGGAATGGGGTCTGGAGTGTGGATTTGGGTGTCCACCCCAAATTGGGGGCTCTAGTAGAGGCCCTGCTAGAGCTGCGTTTTTTGGTTAGGCATCCATATTTAGCTATAGAGACTCAAGTAGTGGTCCTGCTGAGTTGCTCCGAGAAGTGAGAACAGTAGCACAGTACTATGTGAGCATAGAAGCAAAGCGGTATCGTGTTTACCTTGTGACTGACGGTTAATTAACTATGAGCTAGCTAGTAGTGTTTTACTGTTGGTAGGGCAGGGGTACTGGGCGGTAAGACTGTCTTCAACAAGAAGACTTGTATGGGCACCCAAACCTAAAATGGGTAACAGAGACTTAAAATCAATCTCCAATAAATTGCCTATATAGGAGACCCATTTTAGATTGCCTGATAGACACAACCTAAATATAAGCATCTTCTCTCCTGAAAACACATTTGCAGAAATGATTTTCTTTTGGATCCTGTTGTTAGAGATGATACCGAATGTGTATTTAATCTTTTGACTGTAGCACTACCAAAGATCAAATAAGTTTTGTATTTTGGGTGTTGTGATTGGAGATAGTATGAGGGCAGGCGTGCAGCTGGGTCTGGGCCTCTGGGAGCCTGGGAGCGTGGGCTGGCCCCGCGCTTGCCTACCATTGCTCGAGTGCTGCTACGACCCACCTGAGGTGACACGCAGGACCAGCAACCCTCATCCTCTGTTCTTCCTCATCTCTCACCTGCAGTCACAGAACAAAAGTCAAAAGGGTAGGGCAGTCCAAAAGGAAAGGGAAGAAAAGAAAGAAAGATGATGGACAGTCAGGCACTCAGGCGAGACGACGAGGAGGAAGAAAACAAGCAAGATCATCGTCGCCTCACCTGTGTTTTTTTATTTTTACTGCGTGCGTACTTTGACATGCACAAGAGTTTCAGAGTGCCCAACGTCCTAGCATGCACGAGCCATTTCCTTTCAGCTTTTGGATTATTACTGGTACTCCCTCTGTGTCAAAAAAAATTCTATACTTAAAAGTCAAACTTTTTCGGTTTAACTAAGTCTACAGAAAATAGTATAATATTTATGTCTCTAATAAATAACTTTGCTATGAAAATATGTTCCATAACTAATTGAGTGATATTAATTTTGAATCATTAGTTTTAGTAGTTTTCACATAAATTTGGTTAAACTTTTGACTTCTCGGAAAGTACTTCCTCCGTCACTAAAAGAATGCAATTGTGGAACAGTGTCACGTGTTAGTATATCAACTTTGACCAATTATATATAAAAAAGTACAAATATTTATAATATCAAATAAATATTATTAGATTAATTACGAAATGTATTTTTATAATAAATTAATTTGGAGTAAAAAATGTGAATACTATTTACTAGAAACTTGATCAAACGTGAACCACTTTACGTGGCACGTAACCCATAGTTGCACTCTTTCTGGGACGGAGTTAGTAAGAAGGGAATTGCTAAAGCACATGCGTCTGTTTTTAAGTTTTTTTTTCAAGTGACGTATCAGGGACCGTTAGATTTAGATCGGAGGGTTGTTGTTCATCTTCAACCTTGAGTAATTGCACAATTTCTATTTCACGTGCTCACGTTCTGAAATCAGGCATCTGAGAGATAGCCGTATAGGATGTGTAGTAGATTTTTTTTTTTGACGGTGGGAGTACATTATCAACCAAAAAAAATGAAGGAGACGAGAGAGACCAAAAGCTGAGTCCATCGTCCGTGCAGTCTGCACAAAGCTGTGGCTGCCCCCCGGGCGTTCCTTCTTTTTTTTTTTGTGACTTCCCCCGGGCGTTCTGTGTTGGCGGCCTGGCATGTGGCATGGGACAGACAGCGATGCGCTGTGCCTGGCCCTGCGAGCGAGAGGATGCTCATGCTCCTGCTCCTGCTCCTGCTCCCCCACCGCGTACAGTACGTACCTTACCTGACATAGACATCCGTGTCTGTCGTCTCATCCCGTCGCGGGTCCCATGTCAAACCTCCCTGCCGTAAAAGCTCTGCTAAACCTCGTTGACAATTAGCGCCGTGTCTCCGGTAGGTAAGGAGTCGTTGCATTGCATTGCACCCACGCGGGTACACCGCCGCAGGTCATCGCGGTCCAGTGTACCTAGACGCCGGCGGCGGCGGCGAAGATTCCACAGACGCCTGGTAGATACATGCAGGTTCTGCCGATAAAAAATAACTGTGTTCATTCGGTCGAATCTAGGCTCGGGTGGCTAGCAATTATCAGGAAAATCTTCCATGTGCGATTCCTAACACTCATCTAAACAAGGCGAGGGGGTTCGATTCTGAGCATGAGTCCACTCCACTGTCTCTCACCGGGATTTATTCGCGTGGAGCTGTAAAGGGATTGTGACACGTCCGTCGCCCATAGAGCCATGGATGGTCCCGATGATTTTAAGAAGAACGTGGTCTTTTAATCTATGTGTAGTTGTAGATCTAGTTGTGAGCCATGGATGGTCTCGATGATCTCAAGAATGACACGGTCTACTAATCTATGTATAGTTGTAGATCACTTGTGTACGCGTGGTATGTGCGTGGGTAGTGTGGACGTGTGTGTTCGTGGCTGAAGTGTTCGTGCACTACAGCTGTACCAGACGAGAGGCTTTAAAGACGTCCCTGACCGGTGGCCGGTGGGCACACGATCCAGATGGATACACGCCAGGCTCTGCTCAATACTCCTACATGTTTATGTACCACCACTGGTCCAGTGCCAAAAGCTGAGCCAATGCAACCCCCGTCCCCGTGCAGGTGCAGGACGCAGCTGGGACTACCTATGGATCAGCCTGGGCGTTCGGTTTTTACCGACGGTTCGGTTCGGTTTGTTCGGTTTTTCAAAAATTCGGTTTCCAGAAAATGACCCCCGATCGGTTTGTTAAATTTCAAAAACCGACCAATTTCGTTCGCAGCTATCGCATAAGATTTACAATTGACAAGACTTCGGTTTTTACCTCGGTACAACAGGAAAAAAAACAGGTTACAACACATTTTAAGTTTGGTTTTTCGGTATTTAGTTCGGCTTCTTGGTACAACAGAAAAAACAGTTACAAAGACACTGTTCGGTTTTTGCACTTCAAGGTCGGTATGTCGGTGACAGAACTGAAAACCGAAACCGAACCGAAAAACCGAACTACCGACTATTCGGTTCGGTTTCGGTTCGGTTTGGTTTTCGGTTTCCGGTAAAAAAATGCCCAGGCTGACCTATGGACCCGCTCCACCGTGCTGCTGCTACCAAGGTCAAGGTGAGACAGAGACACTCGCTGTGACGCTGACAGGGCTGACTGCTGCACGCTGTACCGTGCCACTCTCTACAGCTCCAAGCTATGCAGCCAGAGTCCTGAGTCCTGACAGAACGTCAAGCTTAGGCCAATGATCGAATGAACCAGATGCAGCACTTCAGATTCAAGTTTATTTTTTTTCCTTTTCCAAAATATAAATGGCAGGAGCACTAACACCAGGTCCAGGTGGAATTCGGATTCAGATTCTAGGCGACCGGTGCATGCAAGCATGGTTGCACTTGCGGGTTGGTAACAGAGGAGGGCCAGACCTAAAACAGGGCAAGATTAAGAGCAGGTTACCAGAGACCCACAAACTGCTACTACAATTCTGCAACTGGGAGGATGCAAACTGTATCAACCGACTGGCATCAACTTTGTCCTTTCTCACCACCTCATGTCGTACAGTACAGGTCATGTTATAGCTGCACCATAAGATGTACTCCTACAAACTACACAACCTATGGCAGCAGCCAGCAGAAACACCACATGATCAGGTCTCAAAACTACTACAAACAACACTGCACATAGACAAAGCCAGGAACATGGAAGATGGAACCAGCCACCAGAGGGATCGGAAAAACACAACAGCATGCGCCACAACAAGAAAACATAGTAACATGTAAGCAACCAAAAGGTATGTAGAGCATATAACGGTACGCGTTCATAGTCTCCAATACCCAAGTTTTTTGTTTTGTTTTTTTTTTCAGTAGCAACCAGGACACAGCAAACAACTGAACACAGGGTAAATGTCCAGGAGTTTCGCCTTTGTTGCATCAAGGACAAGAGCATCAGGCAGACCGACCCCTGCTTCCTTCTAGTAAGATAAGAAATTCTCCTCTATGTGCAAGGTAAAAAAAAGGACCCAGCCTCGACCCGGGATTTCCCCATCTCTCTGGCTCCTGGCGTAGGCACTTTACTCACGGTGGAACGGTGAAGCAAGAAAAAAAAAGGCTGAGCCCATAACTTAAAAACAAAAGACACATGTCGCGACTTCTTTCCTCCCCTTTTCATATATGTCTATCTCTATTATATATAAGCAATGCCATCAGCACCTCCTGTACCTACGATATCTAGTGCATCAGCTGGCGAGGCGAGCGGGGACGCACGGGAGTCTTCGACGGGCTCACCCTGAAAATAAAATACCACAGTAGACAAGCTCTGTTATCCACTCCCAGCTCCTCTATATCACTGCAAAGCGTCAAAAGATTAGAGTTTTACCTTATTGGCAAGGATCCCAGTATCACACCACTGCAGTTGAGCGCAGCAGTAGCACTTTCAGCCTGGAAATTAAGAAACAAATGGATCTTATTGAGATGGGGGTTTATTTCTTGAAAAAAGGAGAAAAAAACAATTACTCCTATGTTACAACAAAAGCACCATCTAAAGGACCCAGCTTTTACAAATATATTGAATTAAGCATTGCCTTCAACAAATAATCAGCACGAGAAGGCTCGAGAAAGGCAGTGCAAAGGAACAGATCAGTTATATACTAGCACAGAGCAGTGATGATATCTCAAAATAATAATAATAAGAAAAAAAACAGGTCACGAGCGCTGAACAAAACATGATGACAAGGCGCAGGTATTAACAGTTCTACTAGAGTTAGGACCCACTTATAGTACTCAAAGTCTCAGTCTTAAACAGTCAGCGTAGATTAGCACGCAAAATTACACATTTGAACAGCAGACCTTAACTCGGAGGCACTGACCAATCAAATCACTCAAACCAGCAACAAGTAAAGCTTTGTTTGAGAAAACAAAGATCCAAATTCGTTGTTCTAATGTTCTCCAGTTTTGTCTAAAAAATGATAGGTTGTGAAACTGTTCCCTACCTAATTAATTTGGGTGATGAGAGCTAAGCTCAGTACATAGGACAAATCCTCTTGCACATCCATTTCCACCTCAATTAATTTGGGTTTCTAAAGCTGAAACACTACCTGTCTAGAAACTAAAATCAGTGATGCAAATTTCTTCTTTGTGAACAGCACAGGAATATTCTACTGCAATGAAACTTACTTGCATGCTTCTCAAGCATATTCTTAGCATTTTAGTATTTGGAGACGATATAATGTGTCCTCACCCATCAAACAATGCTAAAAACATATTTAAAATGCACACTGCAGACAATTTTTGCGCAAAATATTTCCCTCAAAAATTGCACAAATATGAAGAAGGTATGCTAGCTAACCATCACAAATTCCACAAAAGCGATGCGAGTAGAATGATGGTAGTCACCAAGCAACCTCAGTCGAAAGACCTGTAGCAGTCATTGCAATGAGCCAATGATACTGTGATGGTTGAATTGCCATTTCTGCAAACATTTAGCAACACAAACTGTATAGAAGGGAAATTATGTTTGAAGTAAAGAATGACCAACCTCTCCACATATAGACTCAAAGAATAATTTCAGATCTGCCTGAGTGACCTGCGGTAAGTGCATATATTAAAATAGAACAATGACAGAATGAATACCTAGTGGTAGCATGAGTGTAGGTAGCAAACCTTCCTGTCAATGTTTGTGCAGTAAATAGTCCTTGCACACATTTCACGTTCGTCATCAGACTGCAGATCACAGAAAAATGGCAAACTTTTTAGAGACCATACCAGATACAAGCATGAACCTTGAGCCATGAACTTAAGACAAGCATGTTAATTCCTGAAGGTTGCATACCCTGGGTAGGAATGTTGGGTTGACTGGTGCAATGGCAGTTTTAGATGGCAGAACCCTGACAGGATAATATCCAAGTACAGTTCCTGACAGATTCAGAGCAGCCCTTGCACCCTCTGGAACATGGATGTTGATCACCCAATGAACAGTAGATTCATTACACAAAGAAAACTGAAATATGGTTGGATATGGATATATTACCCTCATCAGTGAACTCTATGAAAGCAAACCGAAGGACTGAATTTGGGTCCCCACACATGCGACAGTCCACAACCTTCAGAGAGCATATCCAAGATTATGCACAGTTGCATCAAAATAAAATGGGGAACTAAATATATGTAAGGGGGTTTACAACTGTAACATAAATTTGTACCTGTCCGCAATTTATAAATAGTGCTGCCAGGTTTTCTTCAGTAACCTGAACAACAAAAGAGAAATTAGCACCAGAACTACATATAATTGCTAGCAACTCAAACATCATTATGTATCACACTACAACCGTCAATATAGTGTACTACAGAAGCTAACATATAGAATACAACAGTTAGATAAAGATTGCCCTAATACATCACCCAACTTTTTGAACTTCGATTGGCAAAAAAGTAACACTATCAGGTACTGAAAAGAAAGAAAAGGGCACAGCCATACAAAGCTATGGCAACAACTACATGTATTAAGAAACGTTAACTATTCACAATTACTTTCTATTTTACATGAATCAGCAGTATAATTAACTACATCAGCAAACAATATCTTAGTAGCCATAGCAGTGGGCCACACTTAAATATGTGCATTGCAATTTTGCAAAAGGTTTCTGTGTTCTGCATCTACAACAACGACAAAAGCCTTTTGTCCCAAACTCCCAATCCAAGGTAGGGTAGGCCTCTTCCTTTTCCATATTAAGAAAGAACAGGGCATATGCTTGTTAACGCTTTACACCAGGAGCAATACCGTAGGTGGAAAACTAAAGACAAGACATGGTCTTGATCATTTAAGTGGCCCCTTGGACCCAAGGGAAACAAGAAATCAATATACTATTAGGCCTTAACAATGACTTCAAAACAGCATTAGAGAACCAGAATTTGCATCAGGTACAAACTAAAGCTCAAGCAAAGCTATGAACAGGTTGTAGAAAACAAGACAGTACTGTTTCCATACATCGTGAAGCAACAGGGGATGGTGAACACAGGGCATGCCATGCTAGTACCAAACAACTTTTGTCCAACATAATCACAACCAATTACAGCCTAGTCATGACAATGAAGAAGACAATCACTTATACCAACTTGCATTGTATACATTTTTCTCAACAGAATTAATTTAAGACTGAAATGGTCACCATGCTTCAGCAAAGTTGCTGCATGTGTACAATGGAGTATGTAACAACTGACAGCTATTCTGATAATGCAAATCCATTGTACACATGCAATACTGCATTGTACACAGCTATTCTGATAATACAAAATTACTTCGCGAGGTGTTGCACTTGCTGTACTGTAATGCCAAAGATAAAGTAAGTTTATTTGGTCCTATAGAAACTACCACGCATATGCCAGATTGCATTCTGCAATATAGAAGTGTTGCTGTTCTAGAACATACATGCACCAAAGACCATGACACTGCATCTATACCTTGCAACAGCAATACTCATGCACAACTAAGCATATAGACATTCCTTCCCAACACGCAAATACTAAATGTTCACTCAAAGCTTATGACTGTAAGCACTGATGCCAACTACAAATAGTCAAACAGATATAAAGTGTACAACGACAAGCAGGAGTGTCAACATGACTGGCATACTTGTAAAGTCAAGATCCCCCATAGCATACATGAAAGGAATGGAGACAAATGTGCGTGGAGTTTGACAGGAATCAACCAAACATGGTCCCCTAGGTATTTCACAAAATAGAACTTGTTCCTTGCAATCAAGGATGTATGGAATTCTGAGATAAATTAAGGAATTCAGAAAGCAGAGGCACAGGCACCTAGTATTTCTAGCAGTCTCTACAGCAGAGCATGGGATAGCTACTGATTGTCCTTTCCTGGTGGCACTCCACAAAAGGACATCAAAACAGAGCTCTTCAAGGTCACACTTCCTAGTAAAGAACCCTTGCTACATAGGTGATCAGACAGTACATAAACATCTTAAGACAAAACCAGCAACATGATATTATAGATCCTAATCTAACAAGAGATGTTATGACACAAACCACATGAACAAAAGCAGAGATGCCACACTGCCGCAGACAGAAGCACATGGCAAGTGAAATGCAACAAAGAAAGATGAACCACATCATCAGAGAAGAACAATACTAAAGGCTCGCTGCAGCACACACAGGCAGCCAAGCACATAAAAGGCAAAACAGAACAGAGCATACAGCTTTCTAGATTCCGCACGGAACAAATAGCCAAGCAGCAGCGAGAGATAAACTAGCAGAAAGTGGCATCCAAATCTACCAAAGCAGCAGCACAAAAAGGATGGCTCATACTCGGGGGCAGCAACGCCTACGCCTCTACTGCGTAGTGGCGTATCCAACATCCCAACCTGTGCTCCCCGAGTGATCCCGCTCATGAGTCGTAACAAAACATCATCCGATCTCGTGATATCACCATTTTGCCAAGGAGCACGCACGGACAGAACCCAAAATCTAACCGAGTAATCATCACGGGTAGTGCGACGAACAAGAAAATAACAAATTGGCATCGGAAATCGATCGATCGAGAGATATCGGTAGGTAGGCCGCTAGTGGAAGAGGAAAAATTCCCAATTGGCGCGACTAGACGCCCAAATGGGAGGAAGGAATGGATCGGACCTGATGATCGATGTCGGAGACGTATACGGTGCGGCGGATGACCTCATCGCGCTGCGCCATGCTGGTGCGGCTGTTGGTCCGCCGCCTGCCGGGGTGGGCGTGGCCGCCGAAACCTCCACCGGCTCCGCCCTTCTTCTGCACAGCAGCGAGAAGACCGGATCACGACGATCATCATCAGCGGGAGACATCGGAAATGGAATCAATGCAAGCAGGGGGGGCAGAGGAGAGGCCAATTAAGGACGATCCTTACCCTGCCGCGTCCGGCGTGAGCGGCGTCGGCGACGGCCGGGAAGCCGACGACGCCACGGTGGCCCGCCGGCGAGGCGACCGCGAAGCCAGCGTTGGCCGGGTAGAAGCCGTAGGCGGCGGGTGAGAGCGGCGCGGGCGTGAGGGGCCCCGGCCCGGGCCCGGCGCCGGCGGGGATGGCGACGGGGGAGGCGAGGGAGGGCGGGACGAACTCCTCGGCCATGGGGTTGAGCTTGGAGAGGAGGTCCTCCAGATCCCGCATCTCGCGCTCCCCGGCGTCGGCGGCGGCGCCGGCGCCGGCGCCTCCTCCTCCTCCTGGCGCGGCGGCGCGGCGTGGTCAACGGCGGCGGCCTCGACGACGGCCATCGGAGTCGTCGGTCGGGGAGGGGAGCGGAGGAGGAGAGTGGAGGTGAGGAGGAGGGTTCTGGAAGGTTCTGTGGCGGGGTCGGAGAAGACGAGGCGGGGGCTGGCGGGCGTATATATAGAGGCAGGCGTCCCAGCGGAGGTGGATCGGGGGCAGGGGTGGTGCGCAGCGCAGGCAAGCCGCAGCAGAAGAACCGGGAGGGAGAGGGGATGCAGGGATGCAGCAGCGGGTGGGTGGTGGGTCGTCGCGGGGATGATGCCTAGGCGCGCATCGGCGGGTTGTTGGTGGCGCGCCTCCGACAGCAGCAGCAGCGGCAGAGCGGAGCAGAGCCGACCGGCGCAGAGCAGCAGCAGGGGGGACGGCCGGGCGGCAAGGGGAGGGGGAGATGCGCGCCTGCGCCTCTCTCTCCTCTCTCCTCTCCTCTTCCTCTTCCTCGGTCTCTCTCTCTCTCTCTCTCTACGGAGACGGACAGGCGGCCCGGCTCCCCTTTGCCTTTTTTGGGCGCTGCCCCCCCTCCGGTACGGTGGTGGTGCACTGTGCTGCTTTTCTTCTCTCTCCCGTGCGTGCGCCTGTTCCCTTCCGCCCGCCGGGCTGCCTCTTTCGCCGAAAGCCCCTCGTCACACCTCCATTTCTGATTTCTCACAACGCCTACCAACGGCCACGGCTTCCTTGCGAGCGATTAATGCCCGTTAATCCAGTCCAGCCAGTAGTAGCGTCACGTTGGTCTCTCGTGGATAATCTTAACGTGTGTGCTTAACTTTGTTTTTTCGGTGTGATTTGCCAATCTTTATCGGATAATAATAAGGCCATAAAGGAAAGGAAAACCATTTTCTCGGATATGGATCATATCTCCTGCTAGCTAGGAAACGGCTGTTGCGACGGTGATGATAGAATTATTATAAAAAGAAATGGATCACGGTTTATTTGGACATATATCTCCTGCGAGGAAAGCACGTTTGTGTAAGCCATTATTTTGGTGTTATTAATTAGTGAACCTTATTGGTGGCGGTGACGATAAAGTTTTATAGAAACAAATTAAGATTTATCTGAAAACGGACTGTATCTCGTGCGAGGGAGGCAAGCGTTAATGTTTTCCTCCTGGTGAGTCATTCCGGAGTTTGTCGATGTTGCAAAACAATTCCTCTCGTCTTAATGAAATACGGGTACATGTATCTGTTCATGAAAAAAAAAATTGTGAGTCACGACGACATGCGGCCTTTAGTGCATACCAAACTTATCGTGAACGGGAACAAGAACAAGCTTTGATATATATATATATATCTCATGGAGGCCTATCTTGTCCGTTGTAAGAAACCATAAATGTCTTGTACATTGCCTTATCCTGACCTATTACGTCCACGTGTAACGCTCCGTTCGCTTTAACTTATCAGCCCGACTTATCAGCTATGGTACAGTGTTTTTCTTTAACAATAAAACAACATCAACCGGCTTATCAGCTGTAAAAACTTTCAGCCAAACAGCTATATATGATATATCCCACGTCACCGAAAAGGACAATATAAGAATATTGCATTTAATTCGTATTATCTATAGTAAAGGACTAAAGGTGTCACGAGATTAGTGGGCATTTAACTTCTTGCCAATGTGAGGGATCACGCTTAATTAGCCCCTCTTGTATTCACCCATGTTACAAAAGTGGCAAATCATTTGCCACTCGTCCTTTCATAAATGGCAATAAGTTAACTATTATGTTTTAGTCTAACGTCACATTGTCTTTTTGTTGTAGTGATGAATCTAGCCCTCGGTAAGCACTGCATGTGGTTAGACTCTCGGAATGCATAATATAACGTGCGGGCTATTATTCCAAGTGTGACTTTGTAGTTTTACTCTTATTGTCAACACAGGCGATGCATGGTAAACTCAAAACGTGAAGACGGCCTACCTTTTGACGATAAGAAACCATTAATGCTCACCCTATGATTGCCTCGATACAAATGTGAGTTTAGAATGTATGCCATATTGCCATACATGGGGCATAAATGTTTCTTATTGTAAGTTTCCTTATGACGACATTTGTTGCATCAACGACTAAATTGATCGGGCATGTCTTCTATACCTATACCTAATAATAAAGAGGCAAAATTTCTTCCATAATTTTTTTCATCCAACTCCGATCTCTAATTTCTTGTCCGATAATCCTCTTTTCAAAGTGCCATTCAGTTTGGATCTAATCTTTAATAATTTTTCTATCCATAATTTTTCTTTCCTTGATTTGTGTCCCCACCTCCAACGTGATGGACTCCCTATTCGAATCCAATAGGAGAAATCAAGTACAGTACAATGACTCAATAAATATATATACCGATGCAATAGAAGAAATCAAATACAATTAAACAACTCAATAAATAAACTTAATACAAATTGGGTTAAATTGAACACCAATTAAACCAAATATGCGAGGCACCGTATCAGCGCAGATGAGGTGGCTCGAAAAGATGCTGAGACCGAAACGACAATGGCGTGAGGTCTGGAGACTATGTCTTGGGCAACGGAGGGGCAACATAACGAGACAACGATGTGAGCAAGACCGAGGCGAGGATGGGTGACGACGCAGGGTGAGGTCGAGGAGAGAGGAGACTGCGACGTGGGCGAGGCTGCCAAGTTGTTGGGGCCTGCGGCCACTGGGGCTCCGTCTCATGCTGCCAGGCTGTGGTGACGCCATCACGTGGAGCTACCGGGGCGTGGCCGCGTCGGGGCTCCGTGCCCGCCGGGTGCTGTGTCCGTCAGCCCGTCAGGGCTCCATGGCCGCCTTGGCAAGGTTTCAGCCGAACGAAGTTGGAGGCCTTGGGGTGTGAATGGATGGGGCCACGTGACTCTGACTCCGAGCTAGTAGATAAGGATGAGGAAGAAGAGAAAAAGAAAGAAGAGAAAAAAAAAAAAAAAAAGAAAAGAAAAGATAGGTTACTATGTTTTCCATTGATTAATTATGTGCTATTGGTCTTGACTTTAACAAAATTTGCACGATGAAGTGTTTATGCACTATATATTTTGTTGATCTTTGATGGTATAATTGAAAGTGGAAGTGGTTCGTGATCTCCTTGCGCTATGGCATATATGGAATTGATTACTTAAGTAGAAGAAAACATATTGAGTCAAAATTATGTATATACGTTTTTAGCATAACGTGGAGTGCAATAAAAATATAACGATGTAAATGAAAAACTATAGCTTTTGAGACAAAACAACACATAGATATCAAAACTTCAGATGACGCTATACCTTTCCTCCTGTTGCAATGCACGTGCACTTTTGTTAGTCTATATATAAAAATTAAATAAGTGTATGGCACTCCATTATCATTATTGTCTCTGGAAAAAGTTATCATGTGACGATAATATGTTACGTGCATGGAAAATGGACAAACAAGCTATTGCCTCATTTTGCCATGCTTGCAATTTTAGACATTGCTAAATCTAGGCATCGCGTGTTTTAGATTTTTTATAAATTCTCATCCACTTCATATGAATCGCATGATTCATCCGAGAGGAAGTAAACTGTTTGCGCCCAAGCAAAGTTACAAACTACTAGGTAGGCTTGGTGACAACCAAACCTTAAGACATATCTCCTTCGTCTTAAAATAGTTGCATATCTTGTTTCAGAAAAATTAAAAAGTTTTGAACTCGAAAGTTTTTCCAAGAGATGCCTGCTAAAAATCATTTCAATCTCTCACCAAAACAGATAAGAAGTATATCACTCGAAATTACTATCCAGCCATATGGGTATATGAAGAGCGCAAATTCCTTTATACCCCACCCAATTAGAATTAGGGGAAATAAAACATACATGTAGAAAGTTCTTATCATAAGATCAGCCAATAGAAAAAAAAAAGGAGCCAACTTTAAAAAAAAATAACTAGATTTATATAAAAAATTACTTTATTTGTATCTTCTAAAGTTTTACTATATTTAACAAAAATACATCTCTATTAATAATGGTACTTATTATCCACGTAAATATCAGTATATTCTTTATATAGTACTACCTCCGTCCCCAAATGAATGTAATTCTAGCACAGTGTCACGTTTTACTATCTTAAGTTTGACCAATTATATATATAAAAATATCCATATTTATGATACCAAATAAATACCATCGGATTAATTACGAAATATATTTTTATAATAAATTAATTTAAAGATATAACTGTGAATGTTATTCACTAAAAACTTGCTCAAATATGAACCACTTTTCATGGCGCGCAACCCATAGTCGCATCCTTTTCAGGACGAACCTACGAAGATCTCGTGTCATAGGTGTATCAGAAAAGCAGCACACAGAGGCGTCCAGTGCAGAAACAAGATGCCACAAGGCCCTTTCTTTACACGAAAGAAAAGATGACGACGAACGTTGTTGCATTCCGTTCCCAGTTCCACGCGTGGTCTGACGGGCTCTCGTTCTATCCGTCCATCGCCAATAGGTCCAGCAGACAATTTGTTGGTTGGTTACTCTCGCTCTATCCATCCATCGCCCCAAAAGCCCAAAACTAGATGACCCACAAGCACGCACAATTTGTTGGTTCTCTCCGCTGTGTTCCCCGGCCTAGCGCCCGGAGCGTGGGCGCTGGATGGGTGGCCGCGCCATGCTGGCCGACGCGGCGTGAGGACACGTGGAATGGTTTTTTCGGAGCGTTCGTGCGGGTAATTAGGTGTGTGTGTGGTGGGGGGATCCGATTTTCGAATTTGAACATTTTTTCCCAGACGGGAGAGCTTTATTGGAAGAACACTGTGGTACCTGATAAAAGGAGCGTTACAAAACCCAAAAGTATGTTACCTTATTTTTGTTTCGGTAACTATAAGGCCCTATTTGGATATCCGTGATTATGAAAATATGTAATCAAATCTGTATCCAAACATGATTAATTATGCGACGGATTGCTA